ACGAGATCTATGATAAGGAGATGCTCGCAATCATTGAGGCGCTAGACGATTGGCGCCACTATCTCGAGGGGTTACCCAATCAGTTCGAAATCGTGACTGATCATAAGAACCTCGAGTACTGGCGTACATCCCAGCACCTCACGCGCCGTCAAGCGCGATGGTCACTGTTCCTAGCTCGCTTCGACTTTCGCATCACGCACAAGGCCGGGACATCCAATGGAAAGGCTGATGCCCTGTCGCGTCGATCAGACCACCAGATCGGTGATGAGGACGATAACACCGATCAGGTGGTTCTTAAGCCAGAGCGCTTCCGCATCGCCTCCGCTAGGCGCGGTCACGCCTCGGTGATGGCCGATCAGTCGCTTCTGAAGCGCATCAGGGAATGTTCGGAGAAGGATCGGGAGGTGGCCGAGGCCCTTGAAAAGGTGCAAGACCTCGGACCGCCCCGGCTGCAAAGGGGTTTTGAGGAGTGGAATGCCGAACAAGGGCTCCTGCTGTTCCGCGGGTGCGTGTACGTCCCAAAGAATGCGGAGCTCCGGCGGGATATTGTCAAAATCCACCACGACTCGCCGATCGCCGGTCATGGCGGTCGTGCCAAAACCCTGGAGCTCATGTTGCGGAACTACTGGTGGCCTGGAATGTCCAAGTTTGTCAATGAGTACGTAAGCACCTGCGACGTGTGCAACCGTACCAAGACATTCCCAGCCAAGCCCCAGGGTCCGCTGAAGCCGAATGAGATCCCCGAGCGCCCGTGGCAGATCATCACGACCGATATGATCGTCGGCTTGCCAAAGTCTGATGGATTCGACTCGATCCTGGTCACCGCTGACCGCTTCACCAAGCAGGTCCACTTCTCAGCCTGTCATGAGACCTTGACGGCAGAAGGCGCGGCAGACCTGTACATCCGCGACGTATTCAAGCATCATGGGGCCCCGGCCAAGGTCATATCAGACCGAGGACCCCAGTTTGCTTCGAAGTATCTCCATGCGGTGTACAGGGGACTGGGAATCGAGCCGGCGCTGTCCACAGCGTTCCACCCACAGACCAACGGCCAGACTGAGCGCTGGAACCAGGAGATCGAGCAGTACCTGCGTGCTTTCACAAGCCACAGGCAGGATGATTGGGCAAAGCAGTTGCCGCTCGCGGAATTCGCACTGAACAACCGAGTTCACTCCGCGACCGGGCACTCCCCTTTCTTCCTGCATCAGGGGTACCATCCTGAGATCCAAGTGCGGATCAATCCGATGTCTGCGATGCCTGCGGCCGCTGATCGGCTCAAGATCCTGAAGGAGATTCGCGACGATACGCGCTCTGCGCTCGAGCTGTCGGCCGAGCGCATGAAGGTGTACTACGATAAGCACGTGCAGGAGGCACCGGTCTTCGCGCCGGTGGACAAGGTCTGGCTTGACGCCCGAAACCTTAAGCTGAAACAGCCGAGCAAGAAGCTCAGTCCCAAGCGCCTTGGACCATATGCCGTGCGGCGAAAACTCGGAGACCTGGATTACGAATTAATCCTGCCAAAGTCGGTGCCGGTACACCCGGTGTTCCATGTCTCCTTGCTTAGCAAGTACACGCGTAGCGATATCCCGGGCCGGGAGCCGGAGGAGCCGCCTGCGATCGAGGTTGAGGGCGACGAGGAGTACGAGGTTGAGCGGATCAAAGACTCGAGGATCTTCCGGCGTCAACTGCAGTACCTCGTCAAGTGGAAGGGTTATGACGATTCGCATACGTCATGGGAACCGGCGCGCAACGTTGCCAATGCGCCGGCCCTCATAGCCGACTTCCACCGGAAGAACCCGAATGCCCCTCGTCGACTCAACGCTGCTACCTTTGGTGGTCTCAACTTTCAGCCAATGCCTTCGCCGCTGACTGAAGCACGGTGCCGCTCCGGGTGGGAGATGGGCAAGGGCGCCTCGCATGAGGTCATGCGCCGTTGAGGGGGGGGTAATGTCACGACTTGGTACGGCGCCTAGCCGTTTTTTAATTTTTCCTTTTCGCGGGCTCGAACCCGCGACCTCTGTACTACCTGCCTGATATGGACGCGTCACTATCTACTGTACGATTAGATTAGATGGGACGGCAGCGCACGGCACAGCTCGGGCCCCGCTGACGCAGCCGCTCTGACTCACCGGCCCCCGGGGCCGCATCGGCATGCTGCGCACAGACCAGCTGCGCACGGACCAACGCGCACAGCCTGCCCTAAATCTTCCCATGTATATAAACCAGCCTCTGCTGCCCTAGGGACCTCAGTTTCGACCTCTTGTCCCTAGGTCAGTAAGCTCTTATTTGTATCCTTTACTTACCCTTACTGACTAATACATTTTCTTGTCCCTAGCCTTAGGTTTGAGCACTGCTCACCATCGCTTTGGTGAGATTTAGTCGGACGCCCCCAGCTTTCAGATCTTCCCCTGTCGCTTGACCTCAAGTCGCGACAGAGATGCTCGCAATCATTGAGGCGCTAGACGATTGGCGCCACTACCTCGAGGGGTTGCCCAATCAGTTCGAGATCGTAACCGATCATAAGAACCTCGAATATTGGCGCACGTCCCAGCACCTCACGCGTCGTCAAGCACGATGGTCGTTATTCCTGGCTCGCTTCGACTTTCGCATCACGCACAAGGCCGGGACATCCAATGGAAAGGCTGATGCCCTGTCGCGTCGATCAGACCACCAGATCGGCGATGAGGACGATAACACCGATCAGGTGGTTCTCAAGCCAGAGCGCTTCCGCATCGCCTCCACTAGGCGCGGTCATGCCTCGGTGACGGCCGATCAGTCGCTTCTGAAGCGCATCAGGGAATGTTCGGAGAAGGATCGGGAGGTGGCCGAGGCCCTTGAAAAGATACAGGACCTCGGGCCGCCCCGGCTGCAAAGGGGTTTTGAGGAGTGGAATGCCGAACAAGGGCTCCTGCTGTTCCGCGGGTGCGTGTACGTCCCAAAGAACGCTGAGCTCCGGCGGGATATAGTCAAGATCCACCACGACTCGCCAATCGCCGGTCATGGTGGTCGTGCCAAAACCCTGGAGCTCGTGTCGCGGAATTACTGGTGGCCTGGGATGTCCAAATTCATCAATGAGTACGTAAGCACCTGCGACGTGTGCAACCGTACCAAGACATTCCCAGCCAAGCCCCAGGGTCCGCTGAAGCCGAACGAGATCCCCGAGTGCCCGTGGCAGATCATCACGACTGATATGATCGTCGGCTTGCCAAAGTCTGATGGATTCGACTCGATCCTGGTCACCGCCGACCGCTTTACCAAGCAGGTCCACTTCTCGGCCTGTCATGAGACCCTGACGGCAGAAGGTGCGGCAGACCTGTACATACGCGATGTGTTCAAGCATCATGGGGCCCCGGCCAAGGTCATATCAGACCGAGGTCCCCAGTTTGCTTCGAAGTATCTCCATGCGGTGTACAAGGGACTGGGAATCGAGCCGGCGCTGTCCACAGCGTTCCATCCTCAGACGGACGGCCAGACTGAGCGCTGGAATCAGGAGATCGAACAGTACCTGCGTGCTTTCACAAGCCACAGGCAAGATGATTGGGCGAAGCAGTTACCGCTCACGGAATTCGCACTGAACAATCGAGTTCACTCCGCGACCGGGCACTCCCCTTTCTTCCTGCATCAAGGGTACAATCCTGAGATCCAGGTTCGGATCAATCCGATGTCTGCGATGCCTGCGGCCGCTGATCGGCTCAAGATCCTGAAGGAGATTCGCGACGATACGCGCTCTGCGCTCGAGCTGTCAGCCGAGCGTATGAAAGTATACTACGACAAGCACGTGCAGGAGGCACCGGTCTTCGCGCCGGGGGACAAGGTCTGGCTTGACGCTCGGAACCTTAAGCTGAAACAGCCGAGCAAGAAGCTCAGTCCCAAGCGCCTCGGACCTTATGCCGTGCGGCGAAAGCTTGGAGACTTGGATTATGAATTAGTCCTGCCGAAATCGGTGCCGGTGCACCCGGTATTCCATGTCTCCTTGCTTAGCAAGTACACGCGTAGCGATATCCCGGGCCGGGAGCCGGAGGAGCCACCTGTGATCGAGGTTGAGGGTGACGAGGAGTATGAGGTTGAGCGGATCAAGGATTCGAGGATCTTCCGGCGTCAGCTGCAGTACCTCGTCAAGTGGAAGGGTTATGACGACTCGCATACGTCATGGGAACCGGCGCGCAATGTTGCCAATGCGCCGGCCCTCATAGCCGACTTCCACCGGAAGAATCCGAATGCCCCTCGCCGCCTCAATGCCGCTGTCTTTGGTGGTCTCAACTTTCAGCCGATGCCTTCGCCGCTGACTGAAGCACGCTGCCGCTCCGGGTGGGAGATGGGCAAGGGTGCCTCGCATGAGGTCATGCGCCGTTGAGGGGGGGGTAATGTCACGAGTTGGTACGGCGTCTAGCCGTTTTTTAATTTTTCCTTTTCGCGGGCTCGAACCCGCGACCTCTGTACTACCTGCCTGATATGGACGCGTCACTATCTACTGTACGATTAGATTAGATGGGACGGCAGCGCACGGCACAGCTCGGGCCCCGCTGACGCAGCCGCTCTGACTCACCGGCCCCCGGGGCCGCATCGGCATGCTGCGCACAGACCAGCTGCGCACGGACCAACGCGCACAGCCTGCCCTAAATCTTCCCATGTATATAAACCAGCCTCTGCTGCCCTAGGGACCTCAGTTTCGACCTCTTGTCCCTAGGTCAGTAAGCCCTCATTTGTATTCTTTCTTACCCTACTAACTAATATACTTCCTTGTCCCTAGCCTTAGGTTTGAGCCTCGCTCACCATCGCTTCGGTAAGAACCAGTCGGACGCCCCTCGCTTCCTGATATTCCCCTGTCGCTCGACCTCAAGTCGCGACATTAGGTCGAAACTCCACAAAGCGACCGGCGTTCTCTCGGAACCCCACACTCACTTTTCCTTTCCCATAGGTCAGGTGGTGCGCACCCATACGATACACTACGATACGTAGCTAGCCTACTATACATCGCCAACACTAGAGAAACGAACTCTTCAGTACCTGCGCTTCAGTGAGCGGTACTTGTCCTCACGGACGCGTAGCCTTGGTTCCTGCTGCATAATAGTCAAAAGCAGTATTGGGCCCTACGTGAACTGCGGATCTCAGTGTCATCTCGGGCGCCGTAGGTGTAAGCTAGAGTAACACGGCCTTTTGTAGTACGCGCACCTTCCCGTCCTCCCTCCATCCAACGTGGCTGCCTGTCAAGGCCAAGTTCACGCATTCGACTCTCAGGACCTCATCGACGTCTACATCCCAGACGGTCCTGAAACTATCATCTACCGTTGCGAGCAGCAACCGTGCCCGAACCGAACCCCCCGATCGATCCCAGAAGACTATCCGCGCTACAAAGCGATCCGACGAGCGCAACACCCGCTCGGACCCCGAAGCACCCTTGCATCTCGATCTGCCTCGCGGTACTCTCGCCCTGTCTCCCCTAGCTCCCGCCTCCCTCAAACTGTCGTCACCGATCCAGGTCAAGCGCGAGGAGATCTCCCTCCAGACCCTGCGCCAGAGCCTGAGCCTGAGGAGGGTGAGGGTGAAGAAGGAATCTCGGAGTCCGAGTCCGAGGATTCTGTTGGGTCCGCCTCGCCGACAGCGCTCGCCCCCACGTCAGCAGTCCCTGACGTACGTG